TGCAGTTCACGCTTGCCAGGCGTCTTTGACAAGCCAGACAAGCCAGTCAAAGCTACAGTTTGCCGTTCGACAAGGTCGAATTGGGTTCCAGCTGACGACTATATGAGGCTTGATCAGAGTTTTCCTCGGTGCGCTCTGGCACAGCCTTTTCACCTGCGGCGATTTCTCCTTCACATAACGGAGAGATGTCTCATCTCGACGAGAAGATCTCAGTATAAAACAAAATTAAATTAATTTTATTTTTCAACCATGAATATCAAATCATTAAAAATGAAATTTGATTCTAATTCGATAACAATTATCTGCTATTAATATTTGTGATAATTGTCAGCGAATACTTTGCACTGCCCAGTCGATGTTTCTGATCTTGCTTTTGTAGCTGCCGGTCTTACCAAATCAAAGAAATGCTGGAGCAGCTGGTGAACATCGTGTAAAATTACCGAATGAAGTGCTTATTCACCTGCAAAGTTGTTCCAAATTATTTAAACTAATAATTTGGTTTGGAACTCAACGGAAGGCAATATAAAATTTGCTGTGGCGACGCAACAGTCAAACTGTACGAAAATAGGTGGAAGAAAAAACTCAAGATTCGTAGCAATTAAATGCTATTTACCTGAGTTTGTGACGCTCAAGCAGAGAACGTCATCTCATGAAAAGACCAGTGGGATGACGGATTTGCCATATGCAAATGCACCATGATATGCATGTATTTCAAGTCTCTACATTTTAAACGTGAATCGCTTTTAGCGTGGTGCCTTAAGTCATTCGCATTGAAAAGAGGACAGTACTGATAACACTAAAGTGTACTGAAAATAACATTCAGGAAATAGCGATATTTTAATCAAATTTGTTAGTAGCTGCGATTGACAAAAAGCAACGATTACCCATACTGGAGGAGTTGCAAAATTTGTGACGATCTTCAATGCCAACAATGCCAAATGATGCTTCCCGGAAGAAGACGAAACTTGAAAAAACACTCACTTCCCGTTGGAACCACAGTAAGAGACAGACTGAAAACGAACGGTTCTGGCAGATAAACAAGAGCACGGATTTTCGTGTGTAACACTGTGACTTTACCGTACCGACTAATCAAGCATCTGAACTAAGCGAGTTACCTCATAAGTATTTACATGGTCCCGGGGTTAAGCAAGTTTAGAAGATAAAAATATCGAAGAAATGAAGAATGAAAATATAAGGTTCATCAAACCTAGTTCAAAAGAACTGAAGGAGAAAAGACATGTAGCAAAATAACAGAAAAATATAACAATTACATATCTCCACATATCAATGTTCAGTTTTAAAGACTATCTGTTCTTCAAACTGGCATGATTATTAACTTTGAGGAAAGCGATTTCCGAAATACCGATGCCACAGACCATAGACATTATCTGCTGACTGATGCTTAATTTGCATTCAGCGTTTCGGTAAAAATAATACAGACTATCATCCAGAATAACGGTGATATTTAAGGAGTCGAAACATCAGCGATGCATATAAGTCTTTGTAAGTCGCGGAGGACAGATGTCATGAGCGATGGGTAGGGGCATGCTGTTGTTTGTAAGTAAGCATATTACATGAAAACGCGAACAGGTGTGCTTAGTTGTGTGGGTCTTTCTATAAGTGTGCATACATGTGTAACTGTGTCCAAGAAAGTGCAATTGTTTTGAGGCAATGGCAGGTGGACAGAGGTATGTGAAGTTGCATGTAGATAAATGCAGTACAGTCTATTACAGAAAAAAACATAAATCCAAAAAGGTACAATGCATAAAAAATGAAAAGCTGCGCAAACCATATGAAGCCATATGAGATGTTTTCAAGTCCAACTAGTGTTTTCGCAGTGTTGTCAATTCCGGAATATGCAGTCGACAGGCGATTATTCATTTCATCACCAAGGACATAGCTTATTTATGAACAAACGGATAAATGAATGAATAGACTAACGAATGAATGGTCAACGGAATCGCTGAATGGCTGAATTTACATGTCAGTCAGCTGGTACTATATATCATTCTGCCCTTCTTATCTAACACACCTTCTCTCTCAGTCCTGCCATGCCATGTCGTTTCTCGACAAATCACCACTATGCCATGGGCTGTTGAATGCAGATCTTTTACTTCCCTTCGTTTCTTGTACCACCTTTTAAAAATGCCGCGGCTGACTATGCAAATTAATATCAGTAACATTGTCGACGCCCTGTGTGCCCAAGCTTCTCTTCTGAATAGGAATGAACCATTATTCGAAAAGTTGAGAAAATTATACTATAGTTATGCTGTGCCATTGCATAACTGCGCTTTGCTTGTTTTGGTATACAGTGTCTTAATGCAAACGTCTACTTCTGCGATTAAAAACAGTTTTTAAAACTGACGCGAACCTTCTATCTGACTAAGAATACAGCTATTCGTTCTTGATCAATGGTTTGAGACGCATCGAAACAGAAACAAGGTAATACGTAAGAAACCGTGGTTATGATACATTATATTATTTATCATTATTATTATCAGAAATCGGACATGAATTTTTAGCAGATTCAGTAAGATCACGAGTCAATTGTGTCGTTTCACCGTCTTTTGCTTGGCAGATAGTATAACTGAGAGTACACCGGTTACATATGCATTAGTCCATACTGTGCAATACAGGGTCACTTATGCTATAAACCTGTTTAAGAAACAGACCCAATCGAACACCGTCACTGAACAAATATAAGTATTAACATCTCTACGTAACACTACTCAGAATTTCTCGCTGCAAAATTTAGAGAAGGAACACATCACTGCGATCAGCTATTTTCGATTCACTATTGGATGAACGTCTCTCCAGAACTTTCCAGTTTTTATCTATTTTGATCCAGCCAACTTCTTCAGTTCATCTTACC